TATTAAAAGAAGCAATTTTTGGCTAACCCTGTATATATTAAATGATGTGCACAGTATAAACAGTATTCTCCAAATCTCCTTAACAATAAAGTTATAAAGTTATAAAGTGCTCTTTTAGTTCCACCCTTACATCCAAACTAAGATGTCCCATAAGCCAACTGAATGGCTTGTGCGGGTTAGGGGTAGGAACGGACCAACGGCTTAAAGTCCCCTCCGAAGGACTATACACAATGGACAAACACAAATAAACAACCATACCCAAGTGGGATTCGAACCCACGACCTCTCGGCTCGTACCCAGGAGCTCTGACCACTACACCACCGAGGCCAATATACTCCAACATTATTAAAGTCGGTGTACAAATGTGTACTCTGTCAAAGGTAGACAAAAATTAAAAAAAAAATCAGCTAGGATTTTGGTAAATATCATTTTTAAGTCACCAAAGGGTCCCGCACAAGAAACTGCAATCAGTTTTTGGCGTCATTTTTATGTGACCTAAACTTCGTTCAGGGACACCGTGTTGTCTTATTAGCAATAAAATTCGTTATTACGGTAATAAAGCTCAAGCTGATCACGAAACAAACGATTTTAGCATTTCATCGTAAGAATAACATAGACGGTACACGACTTGTCTTATTGGTAGATTTTTTCAAAGAATTTGGAGGGTACATTTTAAATCAAGTAAGCCCCCTCACCCCGCTTCTACACCCCTAAGTATCATATATGATAAAATGAATTAGTCAAAAATAACTAATTATAAGTCATATTTGACTAATTGTCATAGTGAAAAAGCAGTCACTAATAATTAGTCAAATTCCACTGAATGAAATAGTCAAATTAGTAAATTTAAATTTAAAAAAAGTTTTGACCCAGCCTGGGATTGAACTCAGGTCTGTCACTTGACAAGTTTGTCAAGCTAACGTCTTAACGCATTCGGCTATCAGCCGCTCTTATAAAAATTAATTTTATTTGTCAATAAATATGGTTCATAATATTTTAAAGTTTAATATATTATTTGTCTTGCTATTTTGAGCTAAACTTTTTGCATCTTTATTTGTTTTATGGGTCATTTAACCTTGGAGAGGTATATGCATTTAATTCAAATAATACTTTGTTGTTGGCCGTAAACGACTAAAGAAATTAGTTACTTTTAACTGTCAGAAATAGTCAAATATGGTGACTAATCTTAAATTAGTCAAACTTTAACTATTTACATAGTAAAAAATAACTATTTAAAAGTGAAAACGACTATTTTATTAGTAAAAAATGCTTTTACTAATTCAAATAGTAGAATTTTGACTATTTCATTTTTAGAGAGTAAACATTTCCTGAAAACAAACGTTTGTCGACACGATCAGACATAATATGTCTATGTCTAATATGTCTGATCGTGTCGACAAACGTTTGTTTTCAGGAAATGTTTATGATACTTAGGGGTGTAGAAGCGGGGAGAGGGGCCTTACTTGATATAAAATGTACCCTCCAACTCTATTATCATTTTTTTTCATCATATTTCCCCCTCAACTTTCCTAGAATATAATGTAAAATAACTTTCGGGCCAATGCGGAATTTCAATATCGGTTATATAATGTCAAACAACTTCGGGCCAATGATGGGTTTCAATATTGGACCATGCTAGAAAAAATCTGACGAAAGATATATTGGCCCAATATTATTACGAATATCTTTGTGCTACTGGGGATATTATGTATTAAGTTTTATAAACGCTATTTTAGTTACGAGTTTAATTAGGCACAAGCGAAGCTTGAGAGCGAGTGTTTAATAATAACACGAGTGCCTATAGAAGATATATATACGAGTTGAAAACTATACTTTATCTATGACGAACACAAACAAGAATATAAAGCCAATTTTATTTGTTATCTGTAGAGATGGGATTTTGGGTTGCCAAAATACCTAAATAGGTAAAGTTATTTCTTTTTTTAGGTGAGAAAATTCTTAAATTAGGTACGTACTTTACGAAAAAAAGTACTGGAAAGCAACTTTTAGGTGGTAAAAAAATTTAATATTGCATAACATTTTTTATAAACAATCTTAAGATTTTTATGATGTTAAAATAACTGACGATATATTCTTGTAAAAATATTATTATACCATCATAAATTTTCTATTTTTTTTAATGCCGAGGCACATTCAAAATGTTTTTGTTAATAAGCATACAATTGCTAAAAATAACAAATTTACATTCATTATGATCTAAATGTTTTTAAAAATAATTTCTCATAAAAAAGCACAAATTTGCTAAAATTTGGGAAAATACATGAGATTTTTAAATAAAACCTGATAATATGAGTGAGATAACATGGTGAATAAGAATTATGTCATCCAAATACGACAATCCCAATATTACAAAAGGCATGTTTTTGATGGAAAATTAAAAAAAAAATTGTTAAAATAAGAATTTAGGTGAAATAGGTAAAACACTGGTTTAGGTAGTAAAAGGTAGAAATTAGGTCCATTTCTTTTGAAAATGAAAATTTAGGTAAAATAAAATCATTTTCTTCAAAACAGATTTTATTTCATTGCATCTAAAATTATGATTAGCGTAGACAAATAGGTAATAACTAAAGATGGGATATTTAGGTACTAAAGTATGAGTGAGTATGAGTATGAGTATGATTATAACCAGCCCCATTTCCTCTTGACTCTCGAACCCCGTACAGGCCTATGTTTACTTACGCTGATTTTTGTTCTTCCCCAGCAACTGCACGGCTTCACCCGTGTTTGCTGGGTGCGAATGTCCATTGCGTTCCGTACTGTCCCCTATTTGGGGCTCGAGAGCGAGAGGCGAATAGTTTTAATAGCCATTCCCGGGTTCGCCGAGCCTATGCTATACACTCAGTGGGGTATGGAGGAGGGACGGGAGGGTGTTGGTTTTTGGGGGACAATTACGCCGACCTAAAACTAAGTACGACGCGGAATACCCCTAGACCAGACGATTAGTATTACTCCAAACATTTGGGATTACTATTTGGAGTTGGGGAGTTGTTATTTCGCTGCAGGGGTGTAGTTTCCTAGTCGAGGTCTTTGTCTTGTTCATTATTGTCATTGTCCGTGTCCTGGTCAGATAATTCCTGCACTTGGTAAAGTGTGTCAGTTGTTTTTAATAAATTTTGTCCCAAGCACGTTTTGTGGTAGAGTTTTGTCTTTTTTTCTTAAATTCCAAAATTAAGTATTGCATTTATTTATTAGTTAAACAATTGACAAGCGCAATTATTCTGTTATCTAATGATTACAAATCTAATAGAGTTTGATTATTAGGTTTTATTTGTTTACGTTGTTAGGGTTAGATATTATGATTAATGTGTTAGTTTATTCTGTGAGTCTAGTGTTTATTTTCGGTTTCGTTTGGGATTGCATTACGCACTTGTTGTTGACAGATTTATTGCCCTACTCTGTGTGCCTTTCATATGTTTTAAAGATATCTGTCGTATTTAAATTGCAGATTTTGTATTAGGTCATGCATATTCTTAAGGTAACTTATCATTTTTTTTTGCGGATGGCCACCTTCCCTTTTGTTTGAACTCCTTTGTCTGTCCCGTGAAAAGCGTCCAATGACAGGTGGCACTTAACTCATTCATATCACTTAACACTTCACTCCTCAATGACCGCTACACCACTCTAGCTTTCACTCTATGAAAATTGTTTGTTTCACTTTATTAGTTTGCACTTTTTTAAAAATTATTGTTGGTTTCAATCTTTAAACTTTTACGTTTTAAGCCTTCCCACACGCGTCGCGCGTTCTCAAGCGCTGGAACCGAACTGATGGGATATTTAGGTACTAAAAACTAAAAAATAGGTAACTAAAAAAAGCATTTTAGGTTAAAAAAAAACAGCATTTTAGGTAAAAAAAACATTAAAACTTCAAGTTTCGTTTATAATTTTGTTTAGCCGCATACCCAAACACAGAACATACCCACAATAAACTATTTCTATGCAATAAACTGTGTTTCACTGAGTGACACTCACTACACAGAAGTTCTATGACAGAACATAAGCTCACTACAAAGAAGGTAAAGAAAGTTACTGTTACAGTCTGTGCCCATAAGAAAAAATTTTATACCGTTGAGTTGCACGCCCTGGATAAAATATTGGCGGAAAATTTAAAAAGAACACAAAAAAATAAAATGAGTAAAAATACGTAAAAATAGATAACAAATATGTGAAAATAAACTGAAAAATTAAAAAATATGTAACAAAAGTAAAAAAAGGTAGTTTAAAGCAAAAACCTCCAAAAAAGGTAAAAAAAGGTGAAAACAAGTTAAAAAAATAGGTAAAAAAGTATAAAAAAGGTAGTTTAAAGCAAAAACCTCCAAAAAAGGTAAAAAAAGGTGAAAACAAGTTAGGTTTATATAAAAGAGAATCTTTTAAAGCACATTTTGGCATTATTGGTTTTTAAATAGTTACATCGGTTGAAAAAAGGTAAAATAACTAAAATCCCATCCCTGGTAATAACACTAAAATCCCATCTCAAGTTGTCTGTCAACTGTCACCTGAATTAAACCTCACTTTTTCCCAAACTAAACTTTAATAGGTAAAAATTAAAACCATGTGTGACTCATACAGAATGAGCCACTATCACTGCTTTGATGTCTTTTTGAACAATATTTTAGGATTAAATTAGCATATATCTATCATTATTTCTATCTATTGTATGTAAAAACGCCGATATAATATAACATTAAGATATGTCATGTATACCTATTTATATCTTACTTTAGAAGTCCAATTATACATTACCTATACTGCCCTACTATGGAGAAAGGCAGTAACTGCTAAACAAGAAATTTGTGGAAAATTAGCATAAACTACATTTTTGTAAAAAGCAGTAGGTATTTAATTGATTTTTTTAACTTATGAGATATTTGACTGCATTTCTGTGTTGAATTCAGTTACAAAATTTCCATAGCTTTACCATAGCACAAGAAAACGCATTTTGCATTTTTTTGCAGTTACTGCCTTTCTCCATAGTAGGGCAGTATATCTTTAAGATCTTTTAGCTCACGTAAAGCTTTTAATTCCTCCAGGCTACTTTTCCCTCCTTGCAGCAAAACACAAATAAGGGTAAGAAATAATTGATATTTTCATTAAAATTGTATTTTTAATTAAGTTTAAGGCGAAAAAATGTATTTATTTTTTAACAAAATATCAAATTATGTTTATAAAACAAATTAAAAATGTATTTAATTATTAACAAAGGTATTTAGCTAAGCTGCAACAGTTTATGGTGACATACAGATAATTTTAAGGACTTGCCTTTAATTAAGCAAAATGAAATAAATCCACTTTTAGAGATTAGAAACTAAATTTAAACATATTTTTGGTACGTATGATAAGTTATTTGAAAAAAATAGATTATGTATACAGTGTGTTTCATTTTAATTGGCGAAAATTCGGTATTTACTTAAAGATAGGCCGAATGAAAAAAATTTGTTTGTACCTAGTACTTGAAAGGCTCTATATTTTAAAGAAGAAAAAATTGTCATATATCATTTTCATTGCCCTTTATAATTAATAGAAGGTATCAAAAAACGTCAAAAGTTAGTCACTTTTTAAATTTAAGATAGCGTTTCTGATTTTGGCATACCCTAAAACGATTATTTTGTAATAAAATTTTATACAGGATGGTCAAAAAGTAAGGTTAAATTTGGAAAAATATCATTTTTTAAACACTCTAACAAAGAATTTGCAAAAACATTCTGTAATTTCATTAGGTATAACACAAACTACACATTCTCTTAGTTTTGTTAATCTATGTATAAGCTATAGCTTATAGAGAGTGTTCCCAAATTATAAAAAAATAACGGTATTTTAAATACTAATATTAATCTAATTACTTCCAAATTATTAATAAATAAACCATTTAAAAGTATTAGTACACATTTGTGTATAGCTTATTAATTAATATTATGCCTCTAATTAAATTAATATTTCTATTTAAAATACCTTTATTATTTATTATTTATTATAAATTATTTATTATTATTATTAGGTACTAATAAATATATTTTTATCTTCAAGCGTTTTATAATTTAAGCTTTCTTATTGCCAACGCTCAGGTGAAGTTTTTTTACATCATATTCTGTAAAAATCCCTATATGACAAAAATTTTTATAACTGCTGACAATTCTAAAGCTATCGAAACTCACTTTATACTTTTAATAATAATTATAATTATAATATATTACAATAATTGTACTTCAAAGTACGTTTTATGGATCATTTAACAAATAAAACGGTGTTGTATATATGTTGTATGGCATTAGGTTGAGAAGTGTCTTTTTGTGCTTCGCACAATAGGTCTCCATTAACGGACTTCAAACTTTGAGTTCAGCACAAAAAAGACTCACTCCTCAGCCTTATGACATAAATAACTATTATATAGAAACATCCTCTTTAATAAAGAGTCTTTATATACAAATTAAACTGTAGTATGTAGAAAAGGCTTCAGTAATATTTTTTTATTTTATACACTGTGTCAACCTTCTCAGTCCGGCGTTCTTTTGGCTCGCCTTACTACACAGCCAGCGTTCGTTAGGCCCTGCAGATTCGTACGCTTCCCGGATGGATTGCAAAAAAAGGCGCGAATCCATACCAATACCAATGTGAATAAAAAAAAATTAATTTAAGAAATAATAGTTTTATAATTTTTTTCATTTCACAAAAGCCAAAACAAACATTAAAACCTTTTTACATTATGGTAGAGCTCAAAACATGCTCTCTAAAAATGAATTAGTCAAAAATGACTAATTTAATAGTTATTAGTGGCTGCTTTTTTACTTGTACCAAAGGCATTTATTTATCATAGAAAATACAAAATCAATATTTCTCAATTTTACTACTGCAGAAAATGAATTATATTAATATTGTATTTTGTTATTATTATTAAATAAATAAGCCAGGAAGATGATTGCATAATACTGGCCGAGGTATGGTAGGGCGGTAGAATGTATGTATGCAATCAAGAGCTCCGTAGGCAGTGAAGACACTACTGAGTTTTATTTATTAAAGGAAACAAAAGGAGAACACTACAATTGGCGACGAGAATAAAACAAACTATCTAGAGTCTTGATTCAAGACACCTTATTATTGAAAACGAAAATGAATATTCCATCGTTGGAAAATTTTGAATGTGACGGGGATGTCAGTTCGTTAGGATTGCGTTGGAAAAAGTGGAAAAGGGCATTGCAAATATATTTAGATAACGCAAGCATTGAAGATCCACTGAAAAAAAAGGCATAACTTTTACATTTTGGAGGCCTTTCACTATAGAAAGTGTTTTACAATTTACCTGGGGCAAATGTAGATGAGCAAAATGCAGCTGATGGATATGACATCGCTATTAAAAAGTTGGAGAAATATTTGGCACCCAAGCAGAGCAAGGTATATAAAAGACATCTTTTTAGATTACTCAAGCAAAGAAAACGAGAAAAAGTTTGAGAACTTTTTAGTAAGGCTTCGCCTACAGGCTGCAAATTGCGAATTTACGTATTTGGATGAGACAGCTTATTAGACTTAAATTAATAAAGAATGCCAGTATTGAGAAGTTTTGGGGAAAAGAATAATGCGCTGGTTTTGAATCTTTAAAAGAAGCATTGTCAAATATACCTACGTTGGGATACTACGACCCAGAAGACAAAACCCAGGTTATAACGGGAGCAAATTCAGTTGGGTTGGGAGCTGTGCTTATTCGAATCGATAGCAAAGGGCCTAGAATAATAGCGTTTGGAAATAAAAGCCTGAAAGACGTAGAAAAACGTTATTTCCAAACCGAAAAAGAAGCGTTTGCACTGGTTTGGGCGGTAGAACATTTTAAAACGTACCTTTATGGTAAAGAATTCGAACTCATAACAGATTACAAGCCCTTGGAGACTATATTCGGACCAAGATCAGGGAGGGTATACAAAACAATAATTGGCAAGACCCTGTCAAATACTGTAAAATATTCCGAGAAGAATTTTGTGTTAGTAACGGAATATTTCTACGGGGAACAAGAATCGTGATACCATTAAAACTCAGACAACGTGTTTTAAACGCTGCATAAGGACACCCCGGGATAGTATCGATGAAAGCTAGACTTCGAACAAAGGTGTGGTGGCCAAAAATTTATGAAAACGCAGAAAAAATTGTAAAATCATGTAAAGGCTGTACTTTGGTAGCTTCTCCATCTGCACCATATCCTATAAAAAGAAGAGAAATACCTTCCGGCCCTTGGATTGACATAGCTATCGATTTTAGGGGACCATTACCTAGTGGTGATTACCTTTTTGTAGTTATTGATTATTTAGTAGATATAAGGAGATTAACATCATGAAAACTATAACAGCATCAAACACTAAAATACACTAAAACAAATATTTGCAAGGCTTGGTTTTCCAGCTTCTACCACCGCAGGCAATAGTAGACAGTTTGTCAGTGAAGAAATGAAAACTTTTTGCAATGAGAATGGTATAAAAATCTATCATAGTATACCTTATTGGCCACAAATGAACGGCAAAGTCGAGCGCCAAAATAGGGCTATTCTTAAAAGATTAAAGATCAGTCAAGCCCTGAAAAACAACTGGAAACAGGATTTAATAGACTACTAAATGATATAATAGTTCACCGCATACGGTGACTAGGAAAACTCCGTGTGACCAATTTTTAAGAAGGCAATTTAGAGATAAACTTCCCAGTGCTGTAGATTCAGAAACTACAGTTATAGATCAAGAAACAAGAGAAAGAGTCCAAATTGGAAAAGAGAAAGGTAAAGAATATGGAGATCGAAAACGAAAATCAACCGAGGATATTGATTTTAATATAGGTGAAAAAGTATACCAAAAAAACCTAGTAAAGGTTAATAAAACTACAATTGAGTTTAACGAAGCCCGACATGTAATTATAAGCAAAAAAGGGGGTGATGTATTAATAAGAGAAGATAGTTCTGACCAGGAGTACCGTAGAAATATAGTTCATCTCAAAAAAGTTGAAAACAATTAACTATATTTACCTAAAGTAAATACATGTTTATTTTGCAGGATTATGAGTTCTAAGAAGTGGTGTCTCTCTCTAGACGAGTTAGGTTAAGTTAGATTAGCAGCCTTGTATCAAAGAAATTTTCTTCTTTGCGTTGTATACAGTAAGAAATTGCATTTTTAGGAAAATCTCATCTAAGTAAGTGGTAAAAAGCTAAAATAAGTTAAACCGTTATATCATGTGTTAGTAAATTCCAAGAGATTAGATTCTATTGTATTGCCTCTGGCTAGGTCCATTAACATTATGGATTATTTGAACTCTTTTATAGAATAGCAAGTGTTTGGAAAAAAGGAAGAGATGTAGAATATGAATTATATTAATATTGTATTTTGTTATTATTATTAAAGAAATAAGCCAGGAAGTTGATTGCATAATACTGGCCGAGGTATGGTAGGGCGATTCATTATGTGGAGTCAGTCAATAGAATGTATGTATGCAATCAAGAGCTCCAAAGGCAATGAAGACACTACTGAGTTTTATTTATTAAAGTGAAAGAAACAAAAGGAGAACACTACAACTACAACGAATTTTGTCGATTAAGATCACTAACAAAAATACAAATTGCATTAGCATATAAAAATTAATTAACTAAGATAGAAAATAATATTTACTCTGATCCTAAAAACTGATAGGCATTTATAAACATTAAAAAAATAAATACCAGAATTCCAGGTAAACTTACATATAATACAGAAACATTTGAAAATCCCGAGGATATTGTCAACGGTTTTTTCCTCGTATTTTAGTGATGTTTATGAACCCTTAAAGAGAAATGACAATTATCCAATAAATACACCAAGTCAGCGCATAACCTTGCCTAAATTATCTGAATGTGAAATTACTAAAACACTACAAAAACTAAGTAACAAAAAACGATATTGTACCCAGCTTTATTATTAAAGGCTGCGCTGAAGCTTTTGCTTACCCACTGCAGGTTATATTTAATCTAATTATCTCAACTGGTATATTTCCTGAGGTGTGAAAGATTGGTAAAGTTTGTCCAATATTTAAGTCGGGCTCAAAATT